GATTCCATGCAGTTTCGGGTAGCCTAAAGTACTGTCGGAAATAGAAAAAAACTTTTTTTTCACATTTATATCTACAATTTAGGTAGTTAATATGGGAAAGTGTGAAATATCTGTTAAACTAAGTTCGGCCTAACTACAGTTTCAGTGGGAGGAGATAGGAAATGTTAGAGAAGGATTTTACTCAGGAGAGATTAGTGCAGAAATGAGCAATGAGGTTTTTTTTCAAAGTCCGAAGCGACTTATTTTGAGCAGACCATGGCTTTATGCAAATTAGTGTGCGATGATATTGTATAACAAATGACACTTTTTGAATATCCATTATGAAATTAGACTTAGTTTTATTATAAACAATAGCAGACGTAAACAATAACAACTTTAATACTGAAACTATTAAGGATGTAGATACCATTGAGTCTCACTATCACTATAAAAAGAAACAGGTAGGAGGGGTCTTCTCAAAAGCAAAACCAAGACGGGTGTTGCTGACAGTAGTTGGGGTCGGGCATTGGGATAGAGTCATTAGCTACGATTAGATAATCAATACAGACATATTCAATATACATGAAAAAGCTTAAAATATATTTGAGATGACCCCTTGTGTCTGTGGGCAGCACGTGCACTTCCTGTCAAGTGAGTCGACGGTCCGTCGTTATACCTGGCTGAGCGACCTAATTGCCATCTATAGTCTGATCTATTGTTTTCAGCAGCTATTCGGTTTTTTTCTAAGTTTTGCCCGATTTTACGAGTAAACATGCTTTTCTGCATATCCTATTACGCATCCCACTGAACGCCCAGTTAGGCCGATATGGGTTATTTCGACATATGCCGAACAATGTGTGAAGCCCATGGCACATCTGGTGTCCCCCGCCGTGATGTTGCTGTAATACTGCTACAAGCGGCGTAAAAACATACTCACTCACTCCATGCAGTTCCACACAAGCACAAAGTAATCAATGTTATAATTTTATTCATTTATAAGATGGGTGATAAAAGATTTTTAAAAATCAAGAAACAAAATGCATCCAGCCTCATACAGTTTAGAGAACATTTAAAACTATTTTGTTTAAGAATTAAATTAATATAGATGGAATATTGCTGAGTGCGGGGTAAAACTAAACTCACTCACTCACCATACTCGGGAATACGTCCATCTACGCACACACAAACAATTTCAGGGAACCGTGTAACCTACGCGGCCGAGTTTTCCTCGTACGTATTTGCGTGCGTGCGTGCATCCATGCGTGCAGCTATCCCCGCAGTCCATTCGTCTGGTCGCGACCCAGCTGTTCAACTGTCCGCCCCACGTTCGGTCAAATTCCAGATCTTTTGGGATAAGATCATTTACACCACAGCGCCATGGCGATTTCAGAGGTCCGACGCAGCCATCACGCAAAGCCAGTTTGGAATGCCCACGTGGCAAGCATTATTTGGCCTTAACACGAAGCCGTTTCAGGGCGATTGTCATTAACGCTTGTTTATGAGTGAGTGTATGTTGAGCTGCATGCCAGTTTGAAATGCAATAAAAAGTAAACAAAACTGACACATTATTGATCAGCTCACACGAGATAATGACGCAGGATATGCACGTGCATATTACCGTCATAATTTTGTGACAGCTGTAATGACCGACTGAATATTGTATCGGAAATATGATATGTTACATTTGGATTTAGTGATGGCTGTGTATCATGTGACTGAAACGCACCTGCAGGTCTCTTTAGGGATATGAACAAGAACTGGATGTAATAAAACTTAAAAGAGGGCTGATTGGCTAAAACCCGGAGATATGGGACTGGAAAACGAATCAATTTGATTTCACGAGCTACATGATCTTAATAATATAAAATAAGTCACTCAGCGATTTTACTCTATATTTTAGGAACAACATTTCTACTCTCTCTCTCTCTCTCTCTTAGACTAACAACTAGTCTCTGAAATGAACCTATTTTACAGAAAAAAAGCTTAAATTGAAAAAAATAAAATATAATGAAAAGGAGCCCTGAGACTTTCTTCATTTTCTCTCTCTCTCTCTCTCTCTCTCTCTCTCTCTCTCTCTCTCTCTCTCTCTCTCTCTCTCTCTCTCTCTCTCTCTCTCAGTTCTTTTCAATCTTAACATTCTTTTCATTAAAACTGAAAAGGAGCCCATGTGAGTTGGGAGAATCAGGGAAATCTAGACTTGCTTCATTTAGGGTCTTGAACATTGCAGAAAGGGCTAGGCAATGGGGAAAATAATGTGGTTCAGGGACTTTAGTAATATGAGCTTCACGCACTGTGCCCAAGCATGAAATCTTCGCTGTCACACACAAAATCTCTGTGGTATGCAACCACTTCAAGTATACATTTACTTTAGAATAGACAGGTCTGACCTATCAAACTAGGGTAACACGGAACCGCCTTTCGTCAACATATCAGTCATGAAAATCACTCGCTGACTTGGTTGACGTTTAGCCCATGTGTGTGGTTTGATGTTCATGATATCAGTCACAGGATGTGAATGGCCCAGACTCGATTATATACAGTCTGATGTCATAAAGCAACAACTAAACCAAAAACAACGCGGAGATGTTTAAGGAAATATTTATGCGTAAACATGATAATACGTAGAATATTTTCTATTTATACCAGCCTTGGTTAAAAAGGGACCGGTCATAATTTATGGTGGGAGAGGGGGGAATGAATTTGTACATGACATGCAGGGCGGGGTCAGTTACTTTGTGCATATATTTGGGGGGTGTGTGTCATTCACAATGTACATGCTTCTCCATGAAAATCATCATATCACACACGCACACACACACGCCACCCCCGCTAGCCATAAATTATGAACGGTCCCTAAAGACAAAGGTCAACGTTTTGATACAAATAAACAATTTAATCAATGATTCTGCACCTTTTCAAAGTTATCATCATGACGTCAGCAATCTACCTATAGTTTTATTCCATTTCTATTGCATATATAGTGATTATTACACGAGCTAGTGCGTCATACGACTTTTACGAAACGAGGGTGAAATTTTGTATTGCCCGAGCGAGAACATAATTTGGCACGAGTTTCGTATACGTCATATGACACAATTGATCGAATGTAATATTTTCTTTACTATCCATTTTATTCATGTGTACATTTGTGCAGTAAAACACGGTAAGCTGACGCTGACTGGTTCCCTGGGTCTGTTGCGCCTGCGATAGACACAACAGACCCAGTAGGGAACCAGGGCCCAGATTTTCGAAGCTCTCTTAGCGCTAAGCATAGAAATAGAGAAAGTTGTTCTCTATTTCTATTCATTAACTTACGACTATCTTAGCACTAAGAGAGCTTCGAAAATCTAGGCCCAGGCTGAGTGTGACGGTCCTCTTCATTGACGTCACGTTCAATTGTTTAATGACGTCACAGACATCGAAATACAGAAACAATGGTTGCAAGGCAAAAGTGATATGTGCACATGCGCACATTTGATATACATGTATAGAGAATACTACACGAGGTCTCATTACGAATTATACGAACAGTGATTATACCGTATCTGAGCGAGTGTCAGATCCTCATGGAATCTGACAGATTTCGAATAATTCGTATGTAATGAGACCGATATAATAATATCTTATTTATTACCCACGTCTTAAATGCATTAAACTGACAAAATAGCGTATTTTTTGTTTCGAACCGAAACCGGTTTCATAAAGAGGTTGCGGAAGAGTTTGTACTGTAGTACAATATTTGCATGACGTCACACTGTAATGACGTCACTGCCTTGGTAACCGACGTCACGATGCACATCAGTTGTCATCGCCTCGTACAGCCTCCTACAGTAAACTACTCCGTAGCACCCCGTTTCTTGGTTTGCAGTTGCTTCATTCGGCTAACATCACTGGTGGAAACATTGCGTTTATGTTTTTCGACAGATATAATGTCTCAGTTCGACTCACAATTAAACAGCGACACGGCAACGTTCGCAATGTTTACATTCCCACAATGCATTTAAGTTGTAGAATTCACGTGTTTGTTAAGAATGAAAAAATAGTTACGTCAGAATGTGACCTAATTGAGAGGTCATCGGTTATCCAATCAAATCGTTGGAATCTCAGGTCAAGTCGTTACGACACAGGTCAACGCGATACGACACTCGTGTGACGTACGAGATTAGTATGCAACTCCCATACGTTGACCACGTGGGTAATAAATATATATATATGACACTGGTTATATTTTTCAACATATGGGTGATAAAATCTCAAAGCTCCCTCCCCTCCTTTCATCCCCACCCACAAACTTCCATGAGGTATATCTTTAAGTATGTCTCTGTTATCAATACTTATGGGACACCGTTCTGTAAATACTCCTAGTATGGATTAGATAATCCTATGATTGATGTCACGAATCAATATGCATTTGGAATGAATAGAATAAATAAATAAAACCTTGTTAATATGACGTATTCAACAAATTTCTATTTATAACTCAACTCCAAGTGGGATTTCCTGGTATTCTCCCCCACAAAAATTGAAAGTGACAGACGATTTGATAAAAATAGCATCATTCTAAAACAATGATGTTTATCTATTTTTATGCTTAGTTGTGTCAGAGACCATATAATAGAGGGTCTCTGGTTGTGTAATTTCGGTAAGAATGAGCTATTGGGGTTTTTCTATATTTTTTCACCCCAGTCTATTTATACATTTACACTTCCTTTTGTGACCGCACCGTCAGAAGTTTCTGGAACATTTTACATTCTTGAATTGGTCACTAAGTCCGCAATAAACAATGAGAAACTGCGTATTTATGACGATGTGTGAAATTGTCATGTTTATATGACATAGGTTGAAAATAATTGTATCTATAACATCATTTATTTTAAAGATCAAAACATGTATTTCATTTCAAATATTTATAACATGACATCAATTAAATCAGTTTCTTAACGATCGTGTTTTTGAATGGATAGGGAAATGCGCGAAGTTTGTCGGTGGCTGACGAAGATGGTCATGTGACCGCCCGACTTCCTGTAAGAAGGCAGCCATGTCGGGAGAACCAGGCCAATATTCCGACGTAGAGTCGGAATAGGTCCCTTAATAAACCTCGCCTGGAAGTATGACAGAAGCAGAAAGTACCCCGATTGTTATTAATTCTGAAGGTACGTATATTTTTCACCAGCCACGTTTAAAACGCTGGAAAATGGCCGACTATATTGGGTGTTGTGAGTGTGTTATCATTATCGCTGGCTATTGCCCGCGTCGAGTCACGACTTCTGGGGAATGAACGACTCACTACGCACTCGCTCAAAGAAAATCTCTCAGTAATAGGAGTTTGTGTTTTACTGTTAAGATTTTTATATCCGGATTCTTGAATTTTCAATTAAAACCACATACGATGGAGGAGGGTGTTATGTCTCAAGTTTCTTAGTGTTGACATTGTTGACAAATTAAGGAAGTGATCGTATGCTGATAAGAGACGCTGTCAAACTCGTGAACCGTCCACCTTTATCGTGTTATCTTCAGTTTGGCGATGTAATGTGACAAGGATTACTCTGTATCAGTACAAAAACTCCGATATGGTTCCGAAATCAACCACCAACAGCCTTGTATATCATTGTATAAAATGGAATGTATGTGACCGAATGTTTATGTGGTTATGGTGGACAATCGTGTCAGAAATATGTGGACCATCTTGGTTAGTGTCCACGATTATTTGAACAATTTGGACCCAGAATAAATGTATTTATTACAAGTTGAATATGACTGTCATTCACAGTGGCATGCCCCAGATAGATATCTGATGATATCAGTTATATATTGATCTGTCATGGACATACTCAGTTATCTGTATGACCTGTGAAGATCCGGGTTAGAATTGATCTTCAGCAAACCATGCTTGTCATAAGAGGTGACTAATGTGATCAGTTGGTCAAGCTCACTGACTAGGTTGACACATGTCGTCATATCCCAATTGCGTAGATCGATGATCATGATGTTGATCACTGGATTGTCTGGTCCAGAGTCGATTATTTACAGACTGCCACCATATACCTGGAGTGTTGCTGAGTGCGGTGTAAAACTACACTCACTCACTCACTCAGTTATCTGTATGCCATTGTCATGAGTTTATTTAGTTATATTCTCCATGTCATGCACATACATACTCAGTTATCTGTACGCCATGTCGGGCAGTGGGGTAGCCTCGTGGTTAAAGCGGTTTCTCGTCCTGCTGAAGATCCCCATTCGGTTCCACACATGGGTACAATGTGTGAAGCCCATTTCCGGTGTCCCTCACTGTGATATTGTTGGAATATTGCTAAAAGCGGTGTAAAACTAAACTCACTCACTCACTCACTGAATGCCATGTCATGCACATACTCACATGGGTACGATATATGAAGCCCGTTTCTGGTGTCCCCTGCCATGATATTGCTGGAATGTTGCTAAAAGCAGCATAAAACTAAACTCACTTACTTATGCACTTACTCAGTTGTCTGCACGCCATGTCATTCATATCTTCACTCTACATCTATTTGTACTCAACATAACACATGTCCTTGGTAGCAGATATAGGAGACACACAGGTCCCCAACCATTGCCGGTTATAACAGGCCACCAAATGGGTTTGTTGATCAGATTCACTGTCAGTTGTTTGCGTGTGTTTTCTATATGGTTCCACTGCTATTTATTCCCCCCATGGGCACAATGTGTGAAGCCTATTTCTGGTGTCCCCCACCGTGATATTCCAGGAATATTGCTAAAAGCGGTGTAAAACTAAACTCACTCACTCATTGAATGCCATGTCATGCACATGCTCACATGGGTACAATATGTGAAGTCCCATTTCTGGTGTCCCCTGTGAAGATATTGCTGGAATATTGCTTAAAGCGGCGTAAAACTAAACTCACTCACTTATGCACTTACCCAGTTGTCTGCACGCCATGTCATTCATATCTTCACTCTACATCTATTTGTACTCAACACGACGCATGTCCTTGGTAGCAGATATAGGAGACAAACAGGCCCCCAACCAGTGCCGGTTATAACAGGCCACCAAATTGGTTTGTTGGTCAGGATCACCGACAGTTGTTTGTGTGTCATTGTACCCCAACAGTGTAGGTCGTCACTCATAATATCAATCACTGGATTGTCTCTCTTTGATTCCAGGGCCCCGTTCCACAAAGTGATCGTAGCGCTAAAATGATCGTAACTCCCATACTTTAACACAGACTTGCGACTGTCATAGCGCTACGATCGCTTTGAGAAACGGGGCTCAGGATGCTTTCTTTAACCATGAACAACTAAGTGGAGCGTTATAAGCAACGAAGTTGTGTGTGTATAATGTTTTTATGCACATGATCTAAAGGTACACTGTTGCCACTTATTACAATAACAACAATCTTGGTGTTACAGTCGCTTATCACCTTAGTACTCCAGCAGGTGTTCAGTATTAGTCATATTGCACATATACATATTTATTCAAGTTCTGCCTACATGTAATCAGTTTAACACAAGAGCATATTTTTTAACTGAAGGCGATTATTATGCTCAATAAAATATTTTCGAAAATAGTCAGTGTTGGACTTCCAAGTGGGGATTCAAATAGGTCCCCAATAACCTTGGATCTGTGCTCAATGTTCAATGAACACTGTCAATGTTCCTCATTAGATGGTGTTTGTATGGAATTGAGCTATGGCTAAGAAGCAAGCCCCGTGCCACAATGTGCAAGTGACACCTTCGTTACACTCTCAGGCTGTAGCACCGACTGAGGTGTTGCTGTTAGCATGGTTTGGGGCTTCGGTACAGTCTCTCCCGGGGGCGGTGGGGTAGCCTGGTGGTTAAAGCGCTCGCTCATCATGCTGAAGACCCGGGTTAGATTCCATACATGGGTACAATGTGTGAAGCCCATTTCTAGTGTCCCCTGCTGTGATATTGCTGGAATACTGCTAAAAGTGGCACTCACTGGGTTGTGGTTTAGTGGTCAAAGCGTCCGCTCGTCACGCCGAAGATTTGGGTTAGATTCCCCACATGGGTACAATGTGTGAAGCCTATTTCTGGTGTCCCCAGACGTGATATTGCTGGAATATCGCCGTAAAACTCGCTCACTCACAGTATCTGATATGTAACTGGGTCTGTTTCATTGGCTCCTGTCATGTCATGCCAACTTGGTCAAAATTACATGTTCTAAAATACAAGCCATACTATTCAGGGATGAGAATTTTCCAGGAATTCCAGGAATGTCATAAGGCCAAGGGTCATTTTTGTGAATTGTCTAAATCCGTTGACAATTGTATGAATGTGCTTTAGCAGATTTAAAGTTTTTTAATGGTTGCTGTGTTCATGATATTGTCATTTCTGAGCCAGTTTTAAAGGTCTAAGGTGCCTAAATATCAGGAGCGTCGGCTAGTTTTCAGAGTTTTTTCTCAAAACTTCATTCTCATCCCTGACTAAAGTGCCATTTGATTATACTATAGGTGCAGTGGAATTTTTACTGAAACAATGTATGGGAAAGACTGCTAGCCTTGCAATGTTCAGGGATGGAAATAACCCATTGCCCGACGTCCGAGTCCAGTGTTTTTTTCTGTCGGGCAAGCAAATTTGTAAATCACACTGTACCGGTGTCTAGTTGACTTTCCAATGTTAATTATGTTGTTTATTTAAAAAAATCAGCAAGAAAACAGTCGGTATACTTGGAAAAAATATCAGGGCAAGTGACTTTACTTGTGCCACTATACCGGAGTACACTATCAATTTTAAAGTTATTTCCACCCCTGAATGTTACAGTCATGTAGATTGCCATTCATGAATTTTATTTAAAAAACACATGATCATCTGATGTGACACTTGCTTTAGAATCAAAGCCCAGTGATTTTTAAACAGAATGGGTCCCTTGTTTTGAAGCTACCTGAAGCTCTATACTATTATTTTTGCTGATGTTACAATATTGAGATTAATCTGTTTCACTATTATTTTTGCTGATGTTGCAATAATGTGATCAAACTGTTCCACTAGTATCATGCTGATGTTTCAATTACGCTGTTTCAATAACATGACCACCGTGGCCAGCCAGCTGAAACCTTTGTGATTATATTGCAATGTACAATATATATGACACAGCTTCCAATATTCAGTTCATTATCAGTTATCCTTGAAAGAACCACTTATTCCTGTTATGATGTTATTGGAGCAGGATAATTTTCCAGTTTACATGGCTATATTGATTAGCAAGAATAGACATTTGCATAAAAGTTCCATGTGATTTTCTTTGTGAAGTGGGGTGGTTAAACCGTTTGCTCATCACGCCGAAGAACCGGGTTGGATTCCCCACATGGATACAATGTGTGAAGCCCATTTCTGGTGTCCCCCACCGTGATATTGCTGGAATATTGCTAAAAGCGGTGTAAAACTAAACTCACTCACTCTTTGTGAAGTTCTCAAAGTGACCATATAACTTATGCTGGTTTTAAGAGGCAACAAAATGGATGGTGTTGTCAGAGAAGATGGCTTGGTTGATTGTGGGTCCTAGTGAATGGTATTTGACGATATTGTTGACTGGTGTAAGTAATGAAACCTCACCACACAAACCGGTGATTAATATCATGAACAACACGTCATGATGTCAGGGTTAAAATTACCAAGTCTTAAAGTCTGATGTGTTATCAATTATAATCACCTCTTGTCATGCTTGTAACAAGGGTCTGCTTACTGGGAAGCTAACCGAACCTCAAGTCCCATAGGGCTGTATTGAGGACCTAATTCTTGGGTGGGTAATTGTACCTTGTTAACAACCAGTGGCCGTCTCCAGCCGAGTCTCCCCAGAGCTTGTATGTAATGAGAAACATTCACTCCCACCATCATCCCCTCACTGGCTCAAGCAGCTGATACTCAACCCCTTCTCAGCTCTTACATTATGAGTGTGTCAGTTGAGAGACTTCTTCATTGTGTGTCTTACTCAATGGAATTTAGGAATTTGTAGGTGGGGGTGGGGGGGAAGACTGGTCTGTCTCCTGTCAGAAACCTTTTGCGTTTCACCATTGTGGCAAATGCCTGAAACCTTTCCTAGTTTTTCATTCACCAAAGAGTAAGAAAATATACTGAAACATCGTGTTCTTCAAATAAAAGAAGTTGGCATCTATGAATCCTTGCATTTATGTGTATC